TTTATTTATTTATTTGAAGGAGAAAGAGAGAGAGAGAGAAAATGAGCACGAGTGGGGGAAGGGCAGAGGGAGAAGCAGACTCCCCACTGAGGAGGGAGCCTGACATGGGATTCGATCCCAGGACCCCGGGATCATGACCTGAGCCAAAGGCAGATGCTTAACCGACTGAGCCACCTAGATGCCCCTGGCTTGGTTCTTTTCTTAAACCTCAGTTAATAAGCATGGACAAACACAGTACCCAATTCCCAGGGCATACTGGGGATCTATTAAAGAAACTCCCAGCTTGTGGCCACAGACTATAAAGCCATGAGGGCCCAGACAGACATCTAGGGCGGTAGTTCCAGCCAGGGAGGGGCATCAGAATCAGCTGAGGAGCCTGGGCCCCACCGGGATCCCCTGAAGCTGGAACCTGGAGCCCTGAGCAGACATGATTTCTCTGGGTGAGAGACTGTAATCCTGGGTAAGAACCATGAACCTGCTCCTGCTCCCCAACGTGATGTACTGGGAGATGAAGGGCCAGAGAAGTTGTGTGTCTATTTAAGGTCACACAGCCTGTTGTGGCCGCCAGTGTCCCCTCTGAATGGAGAACTCAGCTCAGGTTTGTGCTAACAGTAGAAACAAATAAAGAGATGCACAGAGAAAACTTCTAAGGTTCCTTTATTTGTTTTGAAAACAACCTCCATTCTTTCTCTCTCAATTTAGTCCTGGCCTTGTGACAAAAAAGCTTTTCTCTCTGGCCTCCTCTGTAAGAAAGGGAACAACATAAACACTTCCTGTGAGAGCTCTCTCCCCAGATTCCAGGGAGGGGCAGACCGGGCCAGGACTGGAATGGAACAGCATGGAGAACACGTGGGATCTGTCTCCGAGCCCCACTTGGCTTACAATCCCTTCCCCCAGACTCCCTGAGACATCTGCTCCTGTCCGGGGGCGGTTCTCCCTCCACCTCCCAGTTCAGAGCATCTGCAGTAGCTGTGGGCTGCTCGTAGCCTGATTTCCAGTCTGCTTGTCATCCGGGGAAACGTCACCCACAGTCCCGCTGATTCTGGCTCGGGTCCTCAAGAGCTCACCAGGTCCCAGTGCTGGCTCATAAGTGATGACTCACACGGGTTGACCACGATTTCCCTGCCATTCTCAGAGCCATCACCAAACATGTCGGTGTCTAGGCAGAGGTGGGAGGCTATGTGCTCGATGCGGGAACCAGTCTTGGTCCATTGCTGAGAAGACGGAGAGGAGAGAGCATGAACCGGAATTCTCTGGCTAAGGGCCCAGGTTCTATCAATAATATCAGGAGTTCCAGAATAATCAGACATGTTTACACCACATGGCTAGGGTCACCCAGAGACTTGACTTCAATGGTCTCACGGAGGAATAAAACTGCAACTAATTGCTTTGCCAGGTATTACTGTTGGTTTTTTGTTTTGTTTTTTGTTTGTTTGTTTTTGTTTCGGATAAAAAAGTAAAAGCAAAATCAGTATGTTCACTAGGAGAACTCATTAGAAGGCAATAACTTTCCAAGCACTAGGCCAGAGAACATGAAGCACGTGAGTCACGGGAGCAACCAAAGAAACGACGAGCACTCAGCGTCTGCACGTCAGGAAGATGTGGGAGCGAGCGGGGGGATGGGGCGCAGGGGGGGCAGAGAGGCTCTGGGCAGCACCCGATGCCAGCAGGCTCTGCTCCTCCAAAGCCCTTCAGCGCATGAAGGGCCCAAGCAGAGAAGGGGGTCTCGTGCCACTGCTCCCCAGACTTTACCTCACATGATAAGGAAGGGGGGGATGAACGTGTTTTGGGGAACCACCACGGCGCAGGCACCAGGGCGCATTTCCGTGACTCCCTCGTGCGGTGGGCATCTTCACCTCCATTTCAGAGACGAAGGAACCGAAGTCCAGTGAGCTGCCGTGGGTCCCACGGCTAGTGAGCCATACAAAGGGCATCTGGATGTCCGTCTCTCTAACGTCAACACCCAATCGGCAGGAGACTGCGTGTGGTCAACAGCATGGGCCCGACGGGGCACATGGTGCATCCAGAGGGCACATCCTGCCAGAGCCCAAGGCCCCCCGCAGGCCAAGATTCCAGTGCTGCTCATCCTGCGGCCCTGAAGGCTTTGTCCCAGTGCTCTCCTGCTCTGGGATGCCAGGTGGGAGTCGGAGCTAGACAGGCGAGCACAAGATGCGCGTGCCCACTGGGGCCCAGCCAGGTCTGCCGACATTCGGGGACAAGCTGACTGCTGCAGCTGGTGCCCCTGTTCTCCTCTCCTGACCAGAAGGGCCTCTTTCTGATCAGCCCCTCCGCTTCTAGAGGTTCTCCCTGGTCTTGCACATGAGACTGGGACCCACACAGGCAGTCCCGTCACTGAAGGCGGACACGCCCCAGTGCACCCACTGAGCACTCACCTGTTTGTCATCTCCGTTCTTGCAGAGGACAAGAACCACCGGGGCACCCGGGAACATGGTGATGACAGACAGGCACAGCTCCTCCTGGAGGATCTGCTGGGTGTATGTGAAGGCCCATATCTGGAGGGGAAGAGGCCAGAAGGTTCACATCAGGATCCTTGGAAGCGTGGTGGGACAGGTCTGGGACGTGTCTGGGACCGTGTGAGAATTAGAACAGCTTGGTAAAAAGCGCTGGAGGTCCGAGCAGGAACAGACCATCAACAAAGTCACCTTGGAAAATGGGACCCACTAGTCAGAGACTCCCAGGTCCTGCCCCCACTGAAGTCTCCATCTCCACACCTGGGAAGGGGACTGGCCTGGGCATGCAGGCCACCTCTGGGAGGCTTGAGGTGGGGAAGCCTCAATGACACCCCAGCCCAGCCATGTGGTCTCTAGTTTCTCTGTTTGGATCCGTATCTATTCCCCACACTTGACACTGCAGCTACCTGGCAGGCCATCCCCAGCTGTCTTTAGAATGTCCCTTCTTTGAAAAGGACAGATGGCGGGATGAAGGGAACAGGGAGTGTGCCGAGGGAGGGAGTGGAAGAAGAGCAGAAGGACAGCAGATCACGAGACAGAAAATGGTCCCCACAAGTGTGTGCACTCCAGCACTCCAGGGGAACAGATCATTGGGCCCCAGAGCCCCTGCTGGGAGGGAAGCTAAAAAAGCGAACAGACAAGGAGGGTGGGGAGAGGAAAGGGCCATTCCATTTGAGGGTCATCACAAGGAATGTTTCTCGGTTATTCCACGAAATGCCGGAGATCAGAGAGCAAGGAGCTGCTGAAGGAGCTCAAACCACTTCGAGTTCTTAGGTCAGAGGGACGAAAATGTGAGCCTCCAAGAGGTCCCTCCCAGGCTGTGAAGTAGGGGCCTCATCACTGGGCAAAGAAGGTGACTGGTGAATTGGATGCCCTGGGGGGAGCTGCAGAGAGGACCCATCAAGGGCTGGACCCCTTCGCCACTCCACGCCTGCTGACCAGCTGACCCCCAGCCTCTGGACTGGGCTGCTCGTCAGCTACTTCTCCTTGGCCTGAGAATGAATCAAGGATCCGTTAGCTGGCCGGTCCCCTGCTCTAGGACCACGTGTCCCGTAAGCTGAGCCGGTGTTCATGTGCTCCTTGTTCTGCACCTTCCCTAGCTCACGGCAGCCCCCTCCTGGCCCTGGCACCCCTCCTGACTTCTGCCATCTGGTGACATCTTCGGTGTCTATCCGTGCCCTGGCTTGTTCCCCTCCTTGCCCAAAGGCTTGGGTCCTTCTGCTGCCTCACCAGGTCACCTGGATGCAGAACCCTGCCTCTCCTGATCTGGGACTTTCCCTGTCCCTGATACCTGGATGGGGCCACCAGCCCAGGGGGAGCCACTGTCCCCCTAGGGTCCTGCGTGTGGATTCTCATGTCCCTTTTCAAATTGCCGGTGTTGGGAGAAGACCTAGACCAGAAGGCACTCCCTGGGGCGGGGTGGGGTGGGGATGGAAATACAGATTGGTAAAAGACAGGCTGTGCATTAAGAATTCTTGAAGCCTGGGAATAAAATCTTTAAAAAAAAAAAGGACGCCTGGGTGGCTCAGTCAGTTAAGCGACTGCCTTTGGCTCAGGTCATGATCCTGGAGTCCTGGGATCGAGTCCCACATCGGGCTCCCGGCTCAGCAGGGGGCCTGCTTCTCCCTCTGACCCTCTCCCCTCTCATGCTGTTTCTCTCTCTTTCTCTCTCAAATAAATCAATAAACTCTTTTAAAAAAAAAAGAATTCTTGAAGCCTGGGGGTGGCTACAGGGGCTCTTTATACTCTCCCATCTATTTCTAGATCTATATATATTTAAATTTTTTAATACTAAATGTAATGAAATGTACTCCTTGGGACGTATCAAGAAGTTCTCCTCTGGCCTTGAACATCACCATACTATGCATGCCATTTGCTTCCCTCCAGGATTAGCTGAAAGGGAAAAACGTCTGTATGCACAGGGGTGATGCAGTAATCACGACCCTGTTACTGACGGCCAACATTTCCTGAGGACTTACTATGTGCTAGGCACTGTCCTGGGGCCTTGGCACAGAGGACATTAGTCTTCATAAGAATCCTACTAGAGGGCGCCTGGGTGGCTCAGTTGGTTAAGCGACTGCCTTCGGCTCAGGTCATGATCCTGGAGTCCTGGGAT